TTTTTTTTTTTTAAGTGTCACCACAATTGAGTGAAAGGAGTGTGCTTGTAGTAGAAAATAGATAAGCCCAAAGGGAAGGAGGAGGGACTGTTAGCTGACAGCTGGCTGGGTATTTATTGCTGTGCTGTGTCTTCTTATTTCAAAAAAGGCTGAATCTTATGCAAAATTCCAGTGTAGGTGTACTGTTTGGTACCAATGCAAAAGATAAAAAAATCCTTTTTTAAAGTTGTAAAAATGCACGTTTCTTTTGTTTTGTTTTGTTTTTACCTGTGTTTGCATGATCACATGGGGTAACTTGCTGACCAGTAAAAGAATGTTTACTAATTTATTCAGTATGCACTCCCTTCTTTTAGAATCATCTTACTTTATATTGCTTTGTGTCCTTGTGTCTATATCTCAGGTATCCCAGTTGAGTCCAGAGTGAACATCTTCATTAACAGCTTTGGGTCTATCCAGGAGACGACTATGGTAATACAGCTACAAACAATGCATATTAGATTAATGGAATTTGGCTCAAACTACTAAATGTTGGAGAGATGCAGATAAGATAAAGATGCAGATTGTATATTTTTACAAATACGCATTGCATTAATGATAGTCATTCACTGTATTCTGTTAAATGAATGAATCACCATAACTACATTAGTATTATTAATACTGAAGAATTGAGCAGACACTTGCTACATGTTACTGTTTTAGACTGACTCAGGATACAGCTGTTTATTGGCGACATATGGAAAAAAATAGGATTGCACAAGTATGACCAGACTTAAGAAAAATAGCAGAATAAAAAAAAGAAAAGTTTCACAATATGTTTCATTTTAAATATTAGCCCTAACAAGTAGGAGTTGATGTAGTGCAAATTATTAATACAATATTTGTCTTTGCAGGACTACAGAGTAAATATATTTCTTCGACAAAGATGGAATGACCCTCGTCTACAGCTTCCTACAGATTATAAGAGTGAAGCACTAACTGTTGATCCCAAAATGTTCCAGTGTTTATGGAAACCAGATCTTTTCTTTGCAAATGAAAAAAATGCAAACTTTCATGATGTCACACAAGACAATATACTGCTCTTCATCTTCAGGAATGGAGACGTCCTGATCAGCATGAGGTGGGCTTTTAAATCTGTTTTAATCAATCTATGGGACCCATAATCCATTTTTGCCTCATTCTTTTTAAACAATGAATACCTTTTAATATTCTGAAGAAAATAACTTCTGAATGGATTGCCATTAATTGGACAATCACTGTGATTATCCTGTCATGACTTATGTTTTAGAAATCAAATTTTGGTCTCTTAAAAAAAGTGAGTGATTCTCATGAGCCTCAGCCATACATATTTAGCCCTACAAAAAGTTAACATGTTAGTATGGTGCAAGGTGGCTTGTAGTGTGTAAATCAAGAAGGTGCAAACACTTAAGGGGAGCAAGAAAGCTTTGTTTCTCTTGAAAGCTCTCATGAGTACCCGTTCGTTGTACACCCAAAGTGACCTGGAACAGTGTCATAGAAGTCATTAATACATGCAGAACTAATCAGTTGTCTGGAAAATAAAGTTATAATTTCCAGAAAAGCCCACTGACCTCAGTTTGTAGCAGAGTCTGCAGACTTTAGAGACAGTTTAAAGTTTTTGTCTTTCTCTGAGGGTCATGGAGAAATTATTGATTCATAGAAGTGACTTTAATCTTGTCTTTTTTTCAGTGACTCTAAGCTGTTTTTAGAAAAAATTGGTTAACTTTTAGGTATTATATGGTGATATATCAACAAAGAAAAGGCTTATGTGCTCCCTGATCACATAAGCCTTTTCTTTGTCGAGCTTATATAAAATGTTAGGCAGACCTAGTTTTGAATTCTGTTTTTACATTGGTTCTTAACTTGCTCTTGCTTTCATAAAGAATAAGATGTAAAAAAATGTATGTAAAAAATCAGAACCATTTCTATTTTGAGGGATTAGAACATTAGCATTAAATAATTCACATGCATCACTATTAAGAACAGTGGTGGCAACATATGGTCTGGCATAGCCTATAAAATTGTCAAATGGTAGGTGACAAATATTAGTAACTGACGGCTAGAGGCTTAAAATCAGAGGCATCTATCAATGTGACAGGTTTTTTGAATTTAAATTAGATCATGCAAAATATGAATATTTTATTTTTCTCACATTTGGGAAAAAGAGTGATTAGGCTTCATTGAATAGTATAGCACTACACACATGTTGTCAGTGTGCTGACAACATGTGTGTAACTGCAGGGTTATAGTATGTTTCTAATATAGGAGCACATGCTGTGGAGTATTGTCTCTGTAAATATAAATCACAGATGACAGGTCAGGGGGGAGATATCTTCACCCCCACCCGGGATTGAGTACAAAGCCCCAAGTGTGATGGAAGAAGGATCGTTGAGTGCGAGAGGAGCTCGCTACTGTAGCCGGTTACCAAGATTATGTGAGGTGCCCTCTGAAGGTCTACTAGATGATGTAAATGCAGCACTACTGACTATACCTACCGCCACCATTACAGAGACTAACAAGTTGATCTACACTACGGCAGCAGTAATCAGTGAGATGCTTGGCTACAAGTTGAGCAGCCACAAGGAGCAGTACCCTCGATGGAGAAGATGACTAGAGGCTAAGATCAAGGTAGCATGGAGGGAAGTAAGCCAACTATCGGAGCTGCATAAATGGGCAGTGAAGAAGGTGCTTAAGAAGTACAGCAAGCTGTCCATATCTGAGGCCTTGGAAACTGTCAAGCAAAGACTCACAGCCTTGGTCAGCTGCTTGAAGAGGTACACTAGAGAGATAAGAGTTGGTCAGCAATAGGTCCTGACATGGTTCATGCCTACTGGCTGAAGAAGCTGACTGCACTGCATGAGTGTCTTGCAGCATAAATGAACCAGCTGCTAGTAAATGAGAGACACCCAGAATGGCTAACTTAAGGCCAGACAGTTCTGATCCCCAGGGACCCCCAGGTCCCCTCCAACTACGGACCAATAACCTGCCTCAGCACCATGTGGGGCCAGTCCCATCCACCTAGAACCCGCAGAGGGTCAGGCACCAGGGACTGGTGAGTGTCAGTACCACGGTCCAGGATGAGACAATGCACATCCATGAGTACATCAGGAAGATGGCCCCAACCGACCGTGTGCTCAGTGAATACCTCAGGCAGCAGAAACCCGAGGAAGAGAAGGAACCATCATAAAAGAACAAGCCCCTGCACGGTATGTACCACCGGCAGATAGAGGAAGCGGCTGACATCCAGAAGTCCTACCGGTGACTGGATAAAGCTGGACTGAAAGATAGCATAGAGGCACTAATCATGGCAGCACAAAAACAAGCTCTGACCACAAGACCCATCTACCACACCAGGCAAGACCCCAAGTGCAAACTGTGTAAAGATGCCCCTGAGACAATCCAGCACATATGGTGCAAGATGCTGGCAGGCAGGGAATACATGGAACACCACAACCAAGTGGCCGGCATAGTGTACAGAAACATCTGTGTCGACTATGACCTGGAAGTCCCGGGGTCAAAATGGGAGAGGTCAAGGGTGGTAGAGAATGACTGTGCTAAGATCCTGTGGGACTTCCAGATACAGACGGACAAAATGGGATGGCTATCCAACTAGTTATAGTAGTGGTGGACAAGCAGAGGAAGACGGCTGTAGTGATAGATGAAGTGATACCAAATGACAGCAACATCAGGAGAAGCTGGAGAAGTAGCAAGGGCTCAGAGAAGAGCTCAACAAGATGTGGAGGATGAGGGTAACAGTAGTCCCCGTGGTAATTGCAGCACTCAATGACCCCCAAGCTAGGCGACTGGCTCCAGCAGATCCCAGGAATAAAATCTGAGATCTCTGTCCAGAAGAGTGGAGTCCAAGGAACAGCTAAGATACTGCGCAGGACCCTCAAGCTCCCAGGCATCTGGTAGAGGACCCGAGTTTGAAAGATGAATACTGTGAGAGAAGGGAATGTTTTAGCACTGATAACAATCACAATGTAATTTCCCTTACAAAACGAATCTCTCCATAGAACATTTTTGTTCAAAAGTCAATTTTGTATATGTTTATTGATATTAATAGCTATTAACAAGCTATTAAGCTTTAATTTAATTTTAAGTTTTAAGTTTTAATTAAAACTCTAAGAACCTTTGTTTTTTTGTGAAATTTGTTTAGGCAGTATGGATGTTCGAACACGAAGTGGAGGGGAAAGAGGGGCAGAGCAACACATGAGGACATTTTTCTTCATACTTGAGAAAATTTCCACCTAACAACTTGTGTAAAATGTTATGTTTTATTTGTGTTATTATTAGATAACATATTAAATATTATTTTTCATAGAATTTTAATTTTGCTATCTCGCTCTACATATCTCTGGAATAAGTAAGAAAGAGTTTAGGATGTGTTGTTAACATAAAAAGCTGGTAAATTAACTTATTTTTAAAAAAGGATTATACAGTAATAGGGCAATTTTTTCTTTGTCCTGTTGAGCCTGTTGTGTGTTTTCTGTTTACACATGCAGGCTGTCGGTGACACTGTCTTGTCCCTTGGATCTTACGCTTTTCCCAATGGACACACAGCTATGCAAGATGCAGCTGGAGAGTTGTGAGTATATTCCTGATCTAGCTGCTCTCTCCGCCCTTGTTATTTCTTGAGCTTCTCGCCTTCCTTCCAGCTGATGTTGCTGACACTTGTTATAGCTACATCTATGGCTGTCTTCCTCTGCTTGTCCACCATTACTCCTCGAGTTCATTAACCATCTGAAGTTTGTCTGTCTGAATACAAAAAACTAAATATACTATAAGAGGAATAGAGCTCCGATGCAGCCATGGGTATAGCTGCTTCTGAAGGACTTGGTCAGCTTTGTTCACTTATTGGGGTGAGGAGTGGAAGGTAAGTGAGTAGAGCTATGCTGTAGAGATGAGACGAAAAATATATCAGCAGCGTTGAACACAGCGTGCTACTAAATTGCATTTTAATTGCTAACTCTCTGCCAATTTACTCTTTGACAACTTAAAAGGTATTAAAAATAAGAATTAATGATACATTTCAAAACTTCAGCACTCTGTAGGAATGTGAAGAAGACCTGGAAAGTTTGCAATATTTTAAAATTAAAACTACAATTAAATGAAATAATTAATGAGAGAACAAAATTTCTGATGCAAAGGCTGTGATTGGGGAACTTTGAACATGGTTATAAATCTGGAACATTCCTTGTTAACCAGCTAACGCTAAATAGTAGGGGTGCAACGATACTCAAAATTTTTAATTTCTTTTATCAACTTTCCTTCTGACGATGCTGTCTGTGTTGAGCGCTCAGTGGATCTGCGCTCGACAGTGCAACCTAGGCGGAGTAGTCGAACGCAGA